CTATCTATCTATCTATCTATCTATCCATCCATCCATCCATCCATCCATCCATCCATCCATCCATCCATCCATCCATCCATCCATCTATCTATCTAGTAGATGCTGGGGATTGAACTCAGGTCCTCATGCTTGCCATCTTCTATTGACTGAACCACATCCCCAGCCTCTGTCCATGATTCTGAAAACAATTATCTGAATTTGAGAAGAAAGAAAAAAATTGCTCTTAAGGCAGAAAAATGGATACACACAAAAGCAGGAAAAAGCATGCCGAGTATGGCATATATACACTTTCTGTGTTTAAAATGCCCAGATTATGATAAATTGTACATATAAGCAACAACTAAAAGTGAAGCACTCTTACACCAATGTTAAGTATTATTAGTTGTTTCCTAAACAATCCCAAATGTAAAGTAAAAATGTTCTTTATGTGCAGGCATATCTTTGGCTTTACTTCATATGTCATGTGTAAGTAAGGCATAATAACATTTTATTGTCTGCCTTGATTATATATGGACTTCTAGGACTCTGTGATGCATGTTTGTGAAATCAGTCAACCAGACCATTTCTCTTTCATGTTTTGAGAGTTATGGTTCGTTATACAGCTAAAACAGGAAGCCAACACCGCTATACAGATAAACTAAATATATCTTAATTCACACTATTTTCACTCTTTGTAGAAAATTCATCAAAATGGGCTCCAAATATCTTAACATGATCATATCGTAACATCATAACATGATCATATCATATAAGAGCGAGAAGGCACAAATGTCCTAACTTAACTATTTGTCTCAATGCTCAAGTGTACAAGTTTAGTACAAACTATATAATTTTTAATAGTCATCTATGCCACTTTTTTTCTGAATCCACATGCACAGAAATACAATGATGATGATGCTGTGAAGATAACAGGTCATTGGTATGTTGCCAAAAAGGAGTTAAAGTTATATAATGATGACTGGACAGCAGCTGGGTTTGATGCATGGTTATGGGAAGCATTTTGGACATTTCATCATGTCCTATGACTTTTGTTTTTTTCGAGACAGGGTTTCTCTGTGAAGCTCTGGCTGTCCTGGAACTCACTGTGTAGTCCTTGTTGGCCAGCTTCAAACTCACACTCAGAGATTCACCTGCCCCTGCCTTTAGAGTGCTGAGATCAAAGGTGTGCACCACCATGTGTGGCCTGTGACTTCTTCTGGAGAGTCATGAACAAGCATTTATTCACCGCAGAAATGATACTCAAAAATACACCAAAGGAACCATTCCACCCAAGTCTAACTTAGTGGTTTACTGAGTTCACTGGAGTTACATACAGGAACGTGGATGAAGCAAAGGCAAGTGCAAGAGTGAGAAGCCCACCCCCGCACAGGTTCTCACCTTCACAAGAACTGCATTCCTAGAACATCCTGTACAATGTACAGTTAACCCAACCACCAATCCATTCCCCCACTACCCTTTCCTCCCCATCTGGCAGCTTATTTCTGCTTATTTAGCTTTGGGAAGTGGTCTTGTGAGCATTAAGTTTCTTTCATTTCCTGAGTTTGATAAGATTTGCTTTTTTCTCTCAAGACCTTGTGGTCCAAGGCCTCTTGTCCAACATAACACTACTGTAACTAAACTACTCACTCTGTGAAGACTCCATCTTTCATCAAAGCATATCCTTCCTTTCAAATAATCTAATCTTTGGTAAGTCAAAGAAAAGAAAATTATCAAAAACAATAACTGTTTTACTTAACCCCCAAAAAGAACCTGGATAATCCTAAGCTTTCAATTTTATGTAAGTATAAGCACAATCACAAAGTAGAGACTTTGGTTTCCAAACAACATGAGGGTGGTGGGTGGAGGTGTGGACAGTCTCTTTAAGCCCCAGAATGTAAGTACATTTGTTTTTTCCTTTATTTGCATGCACTGACACAGTAAATGATAGTGATGGACTCTGATCATACTTTTGTGGAAACTATTGAATTCTATGCCAAAACAAAAAAATAAGGTGTTTTAGTGGTTTCCTTAAACTAGTTCTGTGAGATGTTTGTGAGTTAATTAGAATACAATGATTTTATTTTTTTAAAATAAAAATTTACTTAAGAAAATTTATTTTACCTAGCATCATTTCAAAACACCCATAATAACTTGTTAACAACATCATCTGAGTGAGTGGTACTATAGCCTGCCACACATTCTTATATATCAGACAATCATATCACTGTTCTAAAGTTTTATTTGGACTGTTTCTACTATTTTGTACCTCACTCCCTATTAAGAATGCTTCAGTGAAAAAAAAAAAAAGAATGCTTCAGTGAACTTTGCAATTATGGCATTTAATTTTACTACATTTATTTCCATACAGTAGACGTATGGTGACTACAGCAACTCTGACTATGTAATCACCTGCATTTACAAATGTAACAGACTCTTCCTCTAGGAATCTCACTTGTCATACGCCTACCAACTTTACATCTAAACAATGTTGATCATATTACCTCTCTGCATTTGATTTAAAAGTATTTCAGTAATTTAGAAGCTATCAACGTGAATCTTAAATAGTTTTATTTGTATGTTCTTAAGGAAAATGAGCATTTTCTCATGTATTGAACTTTTCTATTTTCCCAACTGTGTGACTCTGCTCTTTTGGTCTTCCCTGTTGTTTCCTTTCCTTTCCTCTTTCCCACCTCCACTTCCTCTCTTTTGAGATCCCTTCCCTCCCTTTTCTCCTGTCTTCCCTCCCTCCTTCCCTACTCCTTTACCTCTCTCCCCCTCTCCCTCTCTTTTCCTTTGTTTCTTTCCTTTTGTCTTTTTATTGAAACACAGTCTCCCTGTATAGATCAGGCCGGTTTGGCATTTGCTATATAGCTTAGACTGGCCTTGAATTCAGATTTCCCTGTTTCAGACTCCTCAATATTAGGATTTAGAGACATGTCCCATTATATGTGATCTTAATTTTAGATATCTGAATTAACCATTTTTAATAGAAACTTTATTTCTCCTCAGTCATGTTAGAGTTCTATGAATAATTTTTTAACTCTACTTTCCCTTCAGGATTAGCTATATATAACAAAGACATGTTCAAATCAATATATTTGATCTATACAACCGAATATGGTTCTTGAAATATTCAATCACTTTTAATAAGATTCTGGATTTCTTATAAAAATCATAGATTATTGTTAAGCAATGAGGAAATTGCATATACAATATTGTTAAAAGAAGTATATGTTATAGTAGTTTTCCAAACATTAAGGGCAATTCTGAATTCATTATCCATGTATAAATTTTTACAGTATTTTATGTATACGTGTTTGTGCCTGAGTGTATGCATGTGTATCACGTGCATGCAGGAGCCAAGGGAGGCCAGAAGAGGGAATGAGATCTTATAAAACTGGAGTTATAAACAGTTGTGAGCTGCCATGTGGGAGCTGGGAGCTGAACCAGGGTCTTCTGAGGGACCAGCAATACTTTTAATAACTGAGGCATCTCTCCAGTCCCCAAGAATAAAATCTCTAAATGATTTTCCTATTCTTTATTGTAATGCTTTCAGGGATCTGGTCAACTATTGCCCAATAGTGCTCATGAACCATACTTCCCTCCCAAAACATACATTCTCCAAAGATACACAGGGTCACTAGAGGAAGTTTTCAAAGTATTTACAATTGCAGACTTCTTACAAGTGAGATTAAAACACACACAGAATCTATATTTTTATGAGTTCCCACTCTTGTCTATTAATTACTAATTTTTTTTTACATTTTGGGTTTTCTTTCTTCCTTTCTTTCTTTTTTTTTTTTTTTTTTTGAGACAAGAGTTCTCTATGTAGCCCTGACTGTCCTGGAACTAGTTTTGTAGACCAGACTGCCCTATTCTTGCTTCTTTCTGCCTCTTGAGTGCTTGAATTAAAGGTGTGCACCACTATGTCTAGCAATTACTTATTCTTGAAGTTTCTCTCTGTCCAAATTTAACAGCATCTTAACTAGGTAAATAATTGCTCTAGACACTGACATGCCAGATAAAATCTAAATTGTTTCTTTCTAGGATGAACAGCCATCTTCAATTACTTACCTAGAAACTACTAATTTCAATACTATGTGACATGAGGTTTTGACCTGGGCCATACTCTTCTTTGGACTTCAAAGGCAGCACTTGTTTCTCTTGCCCACGTGACCTTCTTCCTCACTCTCATCCTGTACATCCCAGCCCTACAATATGACTCACAGAGATTAAGAATATGAACTGATTTTATCTCACTGAATTAAGAGGGAATATGCTATATAAGACATAATTTTCACCTTTGAAAATTGTACCCTGAGGTGAGGGGTGTTACTCAGCAGGGTGATTACTTAGCATAGCAAGCTGAGGCCCTAGGTTTACTATCTGTGACACACTAATAGAAAGAAAGAAAATCAAATGTACCTCCTTTCCTTGTACTCTTTTCTTTGTAGTGGTTTCTCTCTTTGTGAGAATTACCTAGAGGACAAGCTATGAAGCCTCAATTTTCTAAATATCAAAATCAGACCTTAGCAAAAGGTACCTGCTTGTCATGTGACATGAAGTCATCTGTTTCCATTGTCTTGTTGTTGTACAACTTTCCTGAGAGATGCACTGAGTATTTACAGTGACGATGCAGCCCACAAGCCTGGCAGGAGCCGTCCTTGGGGTTCTTTGGATGGATACTTAAGTTAGAGTAGCTTTCAACTCGTTCCTGCCGACAGTTAAAAATAATGAAGATTAAGTCAAATATGAATATATCCAAATTATAACTCATTTTGGAAAACAGTGGGAAGAAATATAAGAATAAAACACATGAAATTTTTTACTTGAAGAAGGTATTTTTAAATTGAAAAATGAACTATTAATCTTGAACTATTAATAAAAACAGACAAGGAAAAACAATCAGTTTCATCTATCTCATTACTTACAAATTACTAATAAGTAGTGTTTCCAATAGGCTTTAACTTACTTTTTTCCTGGTCTCATTGATAATTAGCATCAATGAGATATTAAGTAAAGTTGGAAGATGAGCAACAAAAATTCAGGATAAGAGAAAGATGAATTCGTTTAAGCTAGTTAGAATTTGAAAAACAAGTTACATTCATTCTTCAGTGCATGAGTGAAATCACATTTTTCTCCAAACATTCTGGAAATAACTTAACCCTCCTGTAGTCACCTGCTCTGTCTTATAAAAACAAGCACCTTGAAATGAATGATGTTCCATGTCCAGTGCTGATGGACCATCTAGTGACTGGATTACCACCCAATGAACAATGTGAGAAACACTGGTCTGCATGAGCAAACTGTATTAGACATGAAGTTACTTGTACCTGAGTAACTGTGCTCACATGCAGGCTGTGCTAGATAGTCCTGTATTTTAATATCACAGTTGAATGAGCACACTAAGTATATTGCTAGCATGGTTACTAAGCCACATTCACCCTGTACACCAGTCTGATGGTACACTGATCCTTTTTGTACGTGTGATCTGCAACCCTATTCTGATTTACCTGTCATATTCTTCACACTTCACAGCCTGTCATTAACAGACTAAGATCCAGACTTGCCCTCTTCCCTTCCTGCTTCTATGGTGCTGTGGAAGCACAGTGAGATGAAAGCTCAAACAGCTTGGTATTTTGAGTGACTACTGTGAACAGAATGCACTCCACATGCAAGTGACATACACATTTTTCTGGGTTAAACCAGTAAGTTTTCTTCATGTTTTGCAGTATGACTCAGTGTATCCCAAGACCTTACAGAATCATCTGTCTCATAATTCTGTGAATCTTATTGTTATTTCACCATGGGTTTTCTAACTTCACTGTCACCTGCCAGTGTGACAAAACACAATGTAACTTAGAGGTCTGAGTCTTGAAAGACTATTAAACACTGGCCTGAGAAAGTACCAGCTGCGCAATACTACTTCCTCTGGTTACACTTTCCTCATTGTAAAACAGAGGTTAAGTAATACAGTTCACATATAAGTCATTTGTCAAAGGCTAAATGGTCTTTAAAATTGTAACATTTTTTTCTTTGTATTAATGAAAATAATATTATAACAATTATTTTGTGCATTTTACCTAAAATAAATAAACACCTATTTCCCTTAAGAGCAGATAGGGTTTTTTTGTTTGTTTTTTTTTTTTTTTTTTTTTTTTTTTTTTTTTTTGCATCTAAGGAATAAACTGGGGATCCAGAGGTGTTAAAATCTACAGATAAGAAGATATGTATGGTGGTTCTAAATTCAAGCCATCCTTGAACTGGAAATCTTAGAATTTGTAAGCCCCTGACTGCCCCTCCAACTGAACCATCTTCTATCATCAGGCTGAAAAGTTCTTGATGAAATGAAGTTTTCTGAAGTAAATGAGCACAGGAATTGATTTAAGTGCTAGAGAGATTTTAAGGAATTTGAATGTCTATTATCTACCATTCTTTCCTCTTATTAATTATTAGAAAATAGAATGTCAGCAGTAGGGGTACCTTTAAGTATCATATAGTACATCGTCTGCCATTAGAGATACTAAAATACAAATCTAGAGAATTACAAAGAATCCAGTAATACTTATGTTAAAAAGGCAACTCTCCAAATTGCTAGAATTATAAAATCTTAAGTTAGAGAGTATGTCAAACATGATGTAAGTTAGTATTTTCCATACTGTTTGATGGAAACCAAATACCCCAAGAGGGGCCTGAAGTGATGGCTCCTGGGTAAAACTATTTGTTGTCACATAAGCCTGATGATCCAAGTTTGATCCCAGGAACCCACAGTGGAAGGGAAAACCAGGTGCTGAAAGTTGTCCTCTTCCCTCAGTGGACTATGGCATGAATGTATCCTCATTCACACACATTAGATACTCTCCACACACTTCAAACATACATATATACACACAAAATATTTTAAAAAAACAATAGAAGGAATAATCAGTATCTCAACAGTTAATTATTGAAGACATTGTGTGGATATTTAAGACAATAAAAAACTTGAGAAGTGACCAGTATGTTGTTATTTAACAAGGCAGAAGGCCAACACTTCAGCAAATGATTCCATCTGGGTGGATATTAAAATCTTGAGAGGGCCACTGTCCCCATGCTCTTACCCGAGATTAAAAGGCAAATTATATACCTTATATTGCTCTTTCCATCGACTTCTAGAGACTAAACTCTCTAGACGGGGTTGAATAAAGCGATTATCCAAATAATGAAGAGATGTCAACATATCTTTTGCATATGACTTCTTCCTGGTGCCAGCTGTGAGCAGACGACAAAAAACAGCAGAACACTTGAAATACTGAATCAGTTCAACACTATGTATGTGTTAGAGTTTTAGAAAGATGACTGGCTAGTTGAAAATATTTGAAATTAGGAAATAGTTAATGAAGTAAATGGTTCATTTCATGGAAGAACTGGGCAGAGTTTCTGATAACCTCCTGTAAACATCAGGCTTGCACAAAACCTTTTATTTTCCTTTAAAACTGATCATGCTTTGAAGGACCCCTGAAGCTGGCTCCATCTGTGATCCAGTGGTAACACCTGCCAACACACTGGAAAAGCCTTTTCTGCTTTGTCTTCCCCCTCGTTCCCTCATAGCATACTACAGTCAATTTTGCTTTCCTAATTTGACTAATATTTTGTTCTCAATTTATATGTATTTTGTCATGGCCTGTGCTAAGCTTCATTTTTCTTCAGAAATTTATTTCTAAATGAACATAGCTAATAAATTTATCATATTGTATTAAGTCACTACAAATTTAAATGCTATATCATGAATTAAAAGCTCTTCTTTCCACTATTAGCTCCTTTGAAATCTTCCTCCCCTCATCCCTGACTCATTACACTGTAATGACATTGGTCTTCCTAGTTGTTCTTGAATGCTTTTAACTCTTACTGTGATCCTAAGCATAAAATATGTATATATCACTGTTCTGGTTGGTTTTGGCCAACTTGACACAAAACTCTGTAAATACAAGGTGAGTTGTATAAAACAAACAAACAAACAAACAAACAAACAAACAAACAAAAAACAGGTTTAGCAAGCCATGGAAAGCAAGCCAGTAAGCAGCATTCCTCTATGCCTCTGTTTCAATTCCCGCCTCCAGGTTCCTGCCTTGGCTTCTCTCAATAGACTATGACCCATTGTATACAAGCCAAATCAACCCTTTCCCCCCAAGTTGCCTTTGGTTAGTATTTTATCATAGTAATATAAAGCAGACTATATACAGAAATTGGAACCAGAAATAGGATATTTCTGTGACAGAGCTAACCATGTTTTGGAAGGATTATGGAAATGTTTGGAACTTTGGGCTGGATAAGCCACTGAGTGCTCAGAGCTTAATGTGCTGTTCTGTGGGATCCTGAAGATAAAAATGGAGGCCTGGTTTGTGAAGTTTCAGTTAAAGGACAGACTCTGCTGAAGCCCTTTGAATGATACTTTGAATTAAGAATCTGTGGTGCTGGTCACCTGAGACTGAAGAATCAGCTGTAATGAAGAGACCAGCATCACTGAGGTGTAATCTTCTGGAAAGTACTTCCTCAGGGTCAGCACACAGAAGATGTGGTCCAAATGGGTCTAGGGGTTTACTTTGTGCTGGTAGTCAAACTGGGTAATGTGCAAGACTCACACAGGTGGAACTAGTTTGAAGGCCTGAAGGGGTCATGGAGAGTAGTTGAAGCTTGACACCATGTGACACAGTAAAGAGTCCCTGAAGAGAGCCCAGGAGAGGCTATTGGTAAAGGTACAGCCCTGTAACTGCAGAGTTCCCAGCATACTGGAGATGACAATACCATGGGATGACCAGCAAGGAGAGCATCAAGTGTAGAGTAGAGTTGACCTGAGCCTAGGAGACAAGCTGTGTGTGCTGTGAATGGCTATTCAAGCGCTCTGGAGCCCAGAAGACTGTGAATGAGTCCCGGAAGTCTGACACTCAGCTTCACACTGATGGACTTTGGCTTTGCTTTGGCTGTGAATATGCCTTGATTCTTCTCTTGGAGAAAGGAAATATTTAACTCATCTTTTGATTTTGATTACAAGAGCCTATTGTTGAGACTGAAATTTAAAAGGAACCTTTGATATTTTAGAGAAACTGTACTTTTAGTGTTTGAATTTTTAAAGATTGTGGCTTTCTTAAAAGTTAGAATATTTTATATTATGATATGAATATTAATGTCATCTTTGAGCAAAAAAGAAAGAAAAGTTTATGTTTTAATAGTTATATATTTGTGTGTCAAGTTGACAAGGGATTGATTCTGTTGGTTAGTTTTATGTCAACTTGACAGAAACTAGAGTCATTTGGGGAAAGGAATTCTCAACTGAGAAAATGCTTCCATGAGTTTGGCCTATAGGCAAGTCTGTAAAACATTTTCTTGATTAATGATTGATGTAGGTGGATACAGATCACTGAGGGTGGTGGTAGCCCTGGGCAGGACTTCCTGCATGGTAGAAAGCAGGCTGAAAAACATCCAGAGTGAGCCAGTAAGCAGTGTTCCTTCATAGCCTCTTCCTTAGTTCCTTCCTCCAGGTTTCTGCTCTGATATCCCTCAGTAATGAAGTGTGATCTGAGAATTGTAAGCTGAAACAAACCATTCCTCCACCTTTTGGTCATGGTGATTTATCACAGCAATGGAAACCTAAGACAGAGAATGTAATTTGACTTCCTTTCCTTAAGAATGTTTTTGTTTCATATTCCATCAATGGTCCTAAACTTTGTTCTACGTCCTCTAAAACACATGGAAATCCTTGGTGTTTTCCCTACAAGAAGTTGAAAGTTCTCCACATATAAATATGTATAATTATTATTTATAATAACCACACAACTTACACAAGACTGCAGTTATAGCTGAGTGTACAGCACCTTCCAAGCATCTACAAAGCATTGGGTTCAATCTCAGGTACCACAAAAGTGGGGAAAGCGGGCATATTTATAAGTGAGGTATACCAATAGACTTTCTAATTATACCACTGAGTTGGTAGCTCTTAAAGGTATCATAAAAAGCACTTAAGAAGTTCAGTGTCTCAGAAAATGGAGACAGGGTTACTAGCTAAGGCTTTCCCCAAAGCCAACGGAAAACACAGAGTGGGAGTAGAGGACCTTCTGGAGAGAGTGAAAGGAGACAGAGAAAGATTAATGGTTGGTGGATCAGGTAGGACAGTAACTATCCAGAGGGAAAGTAATTCCAATGTCTTTCTCTGTAGCGACGACCTCTCTACTGCACATGACAGACCCTGAGGTGGTCCTGTGTGGCTGCTCCCTGACTCTTTGCTCATAAAGCTTATTTGCCTCACTTTTGCCCTTTTACAGATTTCCCAATTATATAACCCAGGCAAAAGATATCAAGTCAGGCCCTTTTTTGTTTCTTTTATTTTTTAAGATGGAATGTGTCATTGATCCAAATTTCCTGAATAATTTCTAATTGTTCACATATTTACAGGACTAACTCTGTTTTAGAAAACTGCTGTCATGAGCATTCTTTCCACAGCATACTTCTAAAGATTTTGTGAGCAAAGTAGAGCTTCTGAAATGCCAGATCTTATAGATCCGCTGGACTCTTTAGAATTCCCACTCTATCTCAGATACCAAATTCAGTGACTATCAAGGAACAGGGGAATCACAGAGGGTTCCACAGCCTGAAGCCTCAGCATGCCCTCCTATCTTCAGTGACAATGCCAACTACTCAGCCCCAGGTCCTCAAGAAGAGGATGTGGCTGTATTAGAATTGGTGATGCAGACCCTTTCATCAGGCTTCACTCTTAGATCACAGGGATTGTTTTAAAGAAGGAAAGCAGACTAGCAAAGGTCAGTCCTATACTTTGACTCACCCTAGCCCCCCAAAACCTACCCTGGAATATAATAGCTAATATTGATTCCCAATTTGACAGGATCTAGAATTACCCAGGAGACAAATCTCTGGGGATGCCTCTGAGGGATTATCTAGGTTAGGTGTATTAAGGTAGAAAAATCTACCTTAAAAGTATGTGACACTATTCTCTAGGATTGGGTCCTGGACTGCATAAAGAGAAAGGTAGCTGAGCAGAAGAATTAATCTCTTTGCTTCTTGACTTTGAAACAAGACAGGCTCTACAAGGTCCTGCCACAGGACTTTCTCACCATAATGGAACATAGCACACACCTGTAAGTGAAAAAGAACCCCTTTTCTATTAAGACACTTCTGTCGTTGAATTTTATCACAGCAATAAAAAAAAGTCACTTAATGTTAGTAAGGTTGCATACATAAAAGAGAAAGAAGAGGCATCTTTTGTTAAGGTACAGCATTATTGTTTAATAAAATCTCCATGAGGTGAGTAAATTCTTAGAGCATCAGGATGTCTATTCACAATAGAACAATGATGAACGTGGAAGGAAGAGGTGGCAGAAGAGGAAACATAAGAACAGGAAGAGAAGAGATTTTCTTAAGAATCACTGTCTATTAATGTCATCTTTTTGCTGGCATCCTCAAGCCTCCAGATTCTGCAGAATGAGGAGGTCTAGGGTCTTACCTTTCTAATCCAGCCATTCTCTTTTGACTGACTGAAGACTCTTCCTACTGTTTCTTTGACTTGTTCACCTTCACCTTCTTCTGCTCTTGCAATGGAGCAACATTCTTGGTACAGTTTGAATTTAAAATGTTTCAGTTTATGATAAATTCTGGTGCGATTAGCACAAATTCTGCCAACAATAAACACCTACATTGAGAAATAAATGTCATTATCTCAAATATGAAGTGTACATATATATATATATATATCACTTCTAATTTTCAGATTTTCCTTAATGGTAGAATCTAAAACATGTGTTTTTAATTTTACTTAAATATGTATACAAATGGTTTCTTTATCTTATCTATACAACCAGTCAACAGAACCTGTACACCTACTATGCTCCCAGTATTGGGCAGGAGCTAGAAGCTAAGCGAGGATGCAGCACCTGTGTTAGGGAGCTTAGTGCCTTAGGAGAAGGATGACTATAAAACACTACAGCAAATGCTGTGCTCAGGATGCTACCAAGATGTCAGTCCATGTCTTTCTTTGTGTGTGTGCATGTATATATGAATGCCAGAGGGCAATATCAGGTGTCATTCCTCAGGCTCCACTAACCCTTTTTCTTTTGAGGCAGCATTTCTCATTGGCTTTGGGTTTTCCAAATAGGTGAGGCATTCCAGAGCTTAAAATATCTATCTATCTATCTATCTATCTATCTATCTATCTATCTATCTATCTATCTATCTATCTATCTATC